GGATGAGGATGGATGGATGGATGGATGGATGGATGGATGGATGGATGGAACCTAACCCCACTAACTGCATGTTTTTACACTGTGGAAGGAAGACAGAGAGCCCAGAGAGAACTGACACAGACACGTGGAGAACATGCAAACCCCGCAAAGAAAGGCATCGGCCAGATGGTGGATTCAAACCCAGAAAGGTTCTTGCTATGAGGCTAACCATGGTGTCTCTGCCTGACATGTAGAAGTGGTCAAGATGAGGTTCAAACCAGAATGGTTGTTGGTGCCAGACATGCTGGTCTGAGTACTTGAAGAACTGCTGATTAACTAGGATTTTCCCACATACAGATCTAAAGAGCAATTTCAGCAGCATGTCTCAGTTTTTCTATCTGCTAATTGTGTAAAATTACATAAAATGTTCTGTTGCTCATTGCCCAGACTGTCATGTATAAGTTTTTGTCAGAAAAAAATTGTTGATGTCAGAAGTCAGAGGAGAATAACCAGACTGCTTCAATCTGATAGGAAGGGAACAGCAGCTCAAATAATAACTCACCGGAACCAAGGTCTACAGAAGAGCATCTCTGAACACACCACAGACTGAACCTTGAAGCAGTCTGTGGTGAGGATGAGGGGGCTACAGCAGCAGAAGACCGCAATGGGTCCCACTCCTGAGAAAAGGAAGCAGAGATAGTCAGGCGGTTCTGAAAATGTTGTAAGGGCTGTTAGGGAAGATCAAATGTTATAACATATGTGAAACTATATACTTTAGGCATCTAAGTAGCAATAGTTTTGTGGTAGTAATAGTAGAAGTAGTAGTTTTTATGTCAGGACTGTAAACACGTTTTTTAAAGGCCGCATAGACAAGAAATTTGGAATCAGATACTGTCATAAAATATGAAATGAAATAAATAAAGTGCAACTCAGTTCGCGGTTATCAAACAAAAGTCAATCAACGCTCGCAGAGGACCGTTATTTTATTTTGAAGTTTACCTGGCAACAGCTGAGGTAATACTTTGATTTTTTTTCTGCTTGAATTCAAGTACACCCCCTCATCCTCAGGACAAGAGGATGGACGCTCTAACATACACCGCTCCGCCACAGATCCGCCGTTCAGTTTGTTTACAGGAGGATGAATGAAGAGGCTGGTGGTGCAGCAGCGTGCGGACGCGCAGCGTGCTACCGGCTGTGCTCGTGTCGCTAGTATAATTATTATTATTATTAACAGTGTGTTACTGGTTTGACTGGCAGACGACACACTGGAAAAGCACCGAGGCAAGACAAAAACCCGACTTTCCAGCATCCGTAAGCCTTCAGAGATCATCTGTGTTAGTGTCCGGTGTTTGATTCATCTGCATTACAGCGCCATTCGCGTTTCCGTCATACATATTTACATCTCGTCTTTCTGTTTATGTATTTCACGGCAGTGTTGATATTTTTTCCTATGGCCTGTGACGATGACAGTGACGCGAAAGCTGCCTATGTATCGCCAGCTGACAGATCCATATACTATGATTTATGTGTTTTTCTTCGCTTATATAACAGCCTATATGCGACTTTATGGCTTTACAGCAGCGCTCTCCACCTACATGATCTGAGGGGGGGGCTAAATAAGTTAAACAGGACGGTATAAAGAGCCCGAAGGCCTGACTGCGAACGGCTAATTCAGTGTCTGACAATCAGTGAAACCGAGAATTTATTTACATGCAATTTGAGGAAGACTTGATTTTGCAATACGTAGACAGATAGAAAAACACACATTTCAATAACTTCTCTCATCTCTCTCCTGTAGATTTGAACACGGTCTCCCTGGTCTACTTAATAATCAGAAGATGCTGCTTAAACAAACCTAAACATAGCTGAGTTAACAGAGGGTGGGACCACATAATCTGCTCTCTGAAGGATAGAAGTTGATGCATACTAACTGTATGAGGGCCCTCAGCTTCTCCCACAGCTGTGTGCTGTGCTGTAAGTATGTGTTTGTGTCATATCTCTCATATGAGAGAATAACGTGCATAAATAAGTGTATTTGGATGACTCCTGTGTTGCAGAGGTCTGGTTGTTCACAAACAGTGCACAGCAGGCACACTGAGTAATTATCTCATCATTTTTAAGTCATTTAAATTGTTTTGCAGTGCATCTCATGTAAAGAACTGGATTAGTAGACACACACTTAACATCACAGTTTCCTGTGATTCAAATCACTTCCAGTGTGAATCTTTTTGAGCTGGGAAGTGAAGAGTCATGGGCTGTGGGGGCAGCAGAACTGACGCTTTGGAGCCTCGCTACCTGGAGAGCTGGACAAAAGAGACGGAGTCGACATGGCTGACGAGCACAGACACAGATATCCCCTTGTCATCCATCCAGAGCATCCCCTCTGAGAACTCAGAGGCTGGCTTCACTTCTGAGAAAACAATCAGCCCTGGTAAGAAGAATGAATTACTGTATGGCTGAGCAGATGGGTGAATGAATACTGAATTAATCTCTTAACCGGAGCAGGCATTAATTTAACCTGCTGAAAAGAAATATCCTTGATTACTGTATGAAGAAATATAAAGGGGGGTGGGAGGCTTCCCCATCAGAATTTAATATATCTGTAACAGATGATTTTAAATCTGTTTGTTTTTGCATCAATCCATAGTTTCTAATGTTATTGTTCTACTGCCGTTTTACATGAGTAAGGTACATCCTTTAAAATCTCACTGCTGTAAATAATTTGAACATACTAGCAATGACTTGCCCATTCTTTACACTCTTTCTATCAAAGCGGAGTGGACCATCTCTTCATGTCAAGGGCTGTGCTGATGGCATGCCTGATTTCAACAAGAATCCATTATGCAGAAGAAAGAAAACAGAAACATGAGTGACAGAGGAAGTATCCACTTTAGAGACCTTTGTTCTTCTAGTGTGCAGTTAGTTGTATGTGCCTCTACATACAGGTCAGGACATCAGAAACAGATAAATCTCTTAGATGGATCCTCTTCTTTTCTTTGAAGCCAAAGGGAGATGAGTCAGTAAATGGGGATGATAGGCTGCTTCAAAAGCCACTGTGCTCAAACAGGGCTCAGCTCTCATGGCAACAGATACAGGCATGAGTGAATGCAGGGAGAGGAGCCTTGATGTAATTGTGAAGGCAAATTGACTTGAGCTTCAATGTGGAGAGATAAAACAGACCCAAAATTGGCTAAATTAATCAGCAGCTGGGAACCAAACAGATTTTTATGACAATAATCATAATAAGTTGTGGTTCAGTATGTCTAGAGAAAATATTCATTAAAATGTCCTCATTTCGTGTTTTGGTTTTGTCCAACCTGCACCATATGTCATCTGTCATCATTAGACACATGGTCACACATTAATGAGGAGATGAGGCGTACACACATCTGTAAAATGCAAACATCGACTACCTGCGAATAACTGATCACAGCTCACGCCTCCACAGTACCATCAAGTTGGTTCAGTGTAAGACAACTAAGTTGTCAATATGTAATCGCTACCGTTTCATTTACCGATGACTTCTAACAGAAGCTAATTGTGGCATAGCGGTTATCTTATCAAGCTGAAATTGATTAACTTCAAGAGAAAAAAAACGAAAATTCATAGAAATGTATAAAAGCTACAAACACATAAGCAGACATAGCTGAACCTCTACATCTTTACAGTTCCAGATTTCTTTGAAGACGGCCTCCCGCCACCGGCTCAGGCCTACCTAAAGGTCTGCTCGGCCATGTCTGAAGCCAGCCTGAACGATGTGAAGCCCAGCAGCACACCAACAGCACTGGGCTCTCCGCGGCAGGACACGACGATGCCTTCTTCTGGAACCACAGTGCAGCGCAGAAGTGTTTTGCACACTGAAGAGATTGTAAGCCTTTCCTTCTGTAATGTGTTTAAATGTGCTCGAGACAGGTCACAGCACCTTTTTTTCCCTGCAATACTGACCTACATCTAAGGTGTGGCGCATCAAACATTTCGTTTCACATTTGGAGCTAAACACATTCATACAATCACTTCTAAGATTTTGCAAGCATGTCATTGAAATTTGTTAGAAAGCTATCTGACAAATCACAGGCAGACCATTTATTTTAATAGTATGTCAAAGACAAGAAATGTGATGTGTGGAGTGCCTCAAGGTACCTGTTTGGGACCACTGTTAGTTTTGGATTTTATTAACGATTCTTTTTTAAAAATTTTAATATCTCAATTGATATGTTAGATATTTGAAGGCAGTAGAAAATTGGATGAAAGATAATAAACTGATGTTTAATGTTAGCAAACCAAAGTGTATGGTAATGCAGGTATCAACCAAAAACAAAACAAATACTTAAGCTTAGGTAATAATAATATTCCCATGGAACAGTTGCAGACCAGGAGAGAAACTGATTAGGTAGAACAGTGGATTGTAAATTAACATGGTCGAAACATACTGATATTATAATTTAATAAGTAATATAGGTAGAGGTCTGTCAGTGGTGTGGTTTAAACATTAATGACATCAGAGGCTATAAAACATGTTTTAAATCAATTTGTTCTGTCGCAGTTTGATTACTGAAGTGTAATCTGGTTGAGTGCTTCATCAAAAGAAATTTTAAAAAGTGCACACAGAAAACAATTTACAGAACTATGATAGGCTAGAACTCCTTACCAGTTTATATTATGCAACAGAGTACTAAAGATGAATTAAAATATTTGTTAAGACATGAAGACAGAGACATAACGTGAAAAGGGAAAGACCATCTATGAATCGAGGAGGGGGCCAAAGGGTACATCTTTCACCATCTTACAATGCTGTGATGGCAGCCATTCCCCAACTCTCTGTGAATGGTACTTATGGCCATTGACCAATGGTCTTTGATCAATGGTTGTTTATCAATGGTCATGACAATTTGCATATTAATGATCAAGGAATTGACCTGTCAAACTATTGTTCATTCAGTGGGCTGCTTTCAGTTACTGTGCAAATGTACTGTTTATAAGGTTGGGGTAACCTGCAGTCAGCTGAGACTGAAGAAGTCACTTGGATGCAATGAAGTAATGTAGATGTTGACTATCGCTTCTTTTGGTGTCCTTTTATAAACTAGTTTTATGTTCTGCGAAATTCAGTGCTGTCTGTATAAGCAGAATTGGCTTGTTTTACACTGACATGTTGTTGATGTTGGCTTGAGTGTGTAGGACCCCAGGAAGAATATTTACCACACTGTCAGTATTTCAGTGTTTTTTATTATTTTTTATTGTCCATTTATTCTCCATTAACAGACAAAATGGCAGGACAATCGGATGTCGACCAAGCAGGTGACCATTACAGTCACCCAGAGCATCCACCAGGTGGACAAGAACGGGAAGGTGAAGAAGTCCCTCACGACATATGAGGTCATGAAACCAGTGGAAGCTATCAAACAGGTGGCGACACAAAACACCTGAGTGCAGGGGGACATTGGAAGAAGCCAAAAAAAATGAAAATAATTATGACTGTGAAAGAAATCGAACAGGTTTTGTGGTCTGACAGGTGTCGAAAGCACAAAAATCAGATTTCTAGTGCATTTAATACTTTACGATGTATGTTTTACTGACATGTTGGGGACTTTTACAAGAGACATTTGATCAAACAAGCATGGGGTAACAGGCAAAACAAAACGTGGTATGTTACAGCGAATGTCATATTAAAAGCAATTGTAGTATATTACAGCTGACAGCTTGTTTCCACATCAGTGTAAAGAAATCATTGCTTAGCACTGAACTCGAAAATAGTTTAATCCAGAGTATTTTCACATTTTAAGATGTGGTTGAACATTAACATAGGTGTAAAACTATTACTGCAATATTATTTAATATGATATAAATGTTTCATAGTTTTGTTACTTGGCATTGATGCACCATTTGTAGTCGCTGCTGTCCTACAAAGCAAAAGGCTCAGGAAACTGACTGTGACGATTGCACTATTTACAGTGAAGCCTGGACGGAGGTTTGTGATAATAAAAAAGAAAAAGCGCTCACGAACAGCATCGTGTTTTGTAAGATATCGAGGTTACTTTTTAAAATTCTGTCGTTATTTGTGTTTTCTAATGATAATAAATAACACACCGAAATGTACTGTCCTTTTAAAATGAACTCATTTGGCATGCTCAAAGACAATCAGGTAATCATGTGGCCTTCAGCTGAGGTACCTCTGTATATATGTGAGCAATAGATAAACAGTAATAGTCTTTATACTGATGATGTTGACAGCGTTGAGCTGATCTGGTGTCAGCTTGACAATGAAAGTGTGTGAATCTGGTTTTGATGGTCATAACGGATCTGCCCTGATCTAAACAATGGCTCCTCCTTTTTCATCCACTCGTCTGCACAGAAGTCTGGGAAGAAGAAAGTAATCTCTCTTTGAGCCGACTCAAGAGAATCTACAGAAAACAATAACAGAATGGAAAATCAAAAATTTGCATAGTAATTACAGGCTTCTTTCTAATTGGTCTAAAAATGTCATTTATGTGCAACCAGAAAGACACGTTACTATAAAATATTAAGATGGATTCCAAGATCTGCTATGAAAATAAACACAAATCTTAAACATTTCTTACATTTTCATGCAGCAATACTACTTGTTACATGTTCAAAATATAAATGTACAATACTGTGCAAAAGTCTTGAGCCTTCAATTCTTTATAGTTTTTTCCCAAATAAGCCAGACTTATAGTAAATCTTATAATAGAAATAGCTCTCCATGATTTCTGCTGTTCCCTCATTTTCAGTCCAGTCCTTCAACCTGACCATCTTCTGAAGAATGTTTTGTTTGTTTTTTCATGTCCTTCAAAAAGCCTGGAGAACTATTCCTGAAACTACAGAAAGCTGTTTTTGCCTTTTATTTTCATGCATGTTTGCACGTTTCAATAAATCATTGTACCCATTTCCCAATTTTCTAGTGAAACAAAAAGAAAAGAGGAGTGTTTTGCACAGACTATGCCTATTCTGTTTTCTGCCCAATGACACCAAACACCATTATAGAAACTGATGGGCATTAAAAGATGTGAAATTGAGTCATGTGTAAAGTTATATATAGTTATAATAATAATGGATTGCATTTATATAGCGCTTTTTGGGGCCCTCAAAGCGCTTTACAATTCCACTATTCATTCACACACCGGGTGGAGGCAGCTACAGTTGTAGCCACAGCTGCCCTGGGGCAGACTGACAGAAGCGAGGCTGCCATATCGCGCCATTGCCCCTCTGGCCATCACCAGTAGGAGGTAGGTGAAGTGTCTTGCCCAAGGACACAACGACCGAGACTGTCCGAGCCGGGGCTCGAACCGGCAACCTTCCGGTTACAAGACGAACCACCACGATCGCCCCACTATTACCTCTTGCATATGTTTAAGATAATATATTCACAATAATAGATTATTAACATTACGCATATCATTTTGTTATCATTTTTTTTAGCATTATGAAGCTTGGGAGCTTTTTTACCTGAGCCATGAGTTGTGTTCCTTGTGTCTGTGAGTCCAAACTGGCCCCTGATGGAAGCAGGCGAGTTGAATCTGGCTCTGAACACTTTGGTCGGCCCCATCAGTTCTCTCCAGTGGCTTATGGCATCCTCCCTGGCTAAAATGTACGCTCGCATTGGCCCACTGAGGACAAATTTCCACAGCAGTCATGAATCTGACTTTGAACACTGCTGATGTTTTCTAGATACCAGACCAAAAAAAAAAAAACACTCTTCATACAAATCTAATCTATTCGCCCCCAGGACCTCCTGGGAAGACCGTTCAGCCATAAATAAATCCGTTTTAGCTAAACATTGCCAGCTGGTGCGGCATCAAGCTTGACTGGCTGACACACTTGAAGATGCTTCCTATGTTTGCGATATCAATAGCAGCAGTCAGAGAAGGGTTGCTGTAGCAACTACTGCTTCACTGCTGTGAGCAGACAAAAAAAAAAGACAAAGTAATTACAAACGCCTTTAACAATCCAATGGAGGCTCGCAGCAGGAGGACCTATTGTGAGTGGTCTGCATAGCGATATTTAGGCTACTGCACCAGGGAATTGTGTTCTAAACACAGATAACTGAAACTCCTGTTGTCCTGTTTTGGGAAAATCGTTTACTGGTGCCTTACTGAGCATGAAATTGGAGTGCTATCAGCAGAGGTGCTGATGGCTCTCCATCCATTATTCCATTTAAAATACAACACCCAACAACAATCATCCAAACACATAAAATTGTAACTCAATCACATGGAGTCAACGAAATCTGTCCATGATATAAGCATGGAGGCTTACCTTGACATGAATTCAACAAGTCTTTGATAGAAGAATCTCCCTGAGATTTGTAAAACAGAAATAAGAAAGAAAGAAAGAATAAAGACCTTCAATAACAAAAAGGAGAAATCAGCTATCCTTCATTTGACAAGACATTTATTTCTTTTAACTGTCATACATACAGTGCACCCTGCTAAAATAGGCTGCTGACTCATTTATTTGGGTACATCATATACTACAGCAGTACTTTTAAGTAAAGCTTAAACACAAATGAATTGTTTCCAAACCTGAATGTTCAGCATAAAACCTCTCAGAGTCCTGTCGTCTCCAGACCAGATCTTTGCATCTAACAATCCCAAAGTTGTTGTCTAGAATTCTCTGGTGAAGAGCCTGAAAGACAGAAATCACGATGTTTGTCCTCCAAGTTGCATCAAAACATGACTGGATCAACTTTAGATGCTTTTTCCTGTGTGTAGATTTTTTTGCAGAGAAAAAGTTAAAAATTGACAGCTCTGATTCAAAAGGTCATCCTCTTGTGCTTTAACTTGAGATGACAATAAAGTAATGCACATTAACAAGTGAAATTAAACCTATCACTGATGGAATATTTTATGATAGACACAGCTGCTATGATTTTGAAGCGTCCAGGTCTGTGAGGTGAGCAAATGCTTCTTTACCACTCGATAAAATTGATATCAGAACAGAAAACATCAATTAATTAATTGCTGTTTTATTTGACAGTGGGTTAAAAAAAAAGCAATTAAACGGAAAGATATGTTCATTTATGCTTCATTAATTCCAAAAACTAATCTTTATAGATTAAACAAATAAGGAACACAGTATTTAAATCACACCATGCAAACTGTTATGCCCTGAGAAAGAGCAACAAATGTTTGAAATCTTGAAAAATGAAAATAACATTCACTGGTCATTTTATTAGGTACAGCTGTTCAACTGCTCATTCATCAAATCAGCCAATCATATGGCAGCAAGTTAATAGACATGTAGGCATGATGAAAACAACCTGCTGAACTTCAAACAGACCATCAGAATAGATGTATTTCAGAAATCGATGATCTACTTGTTGGGGCCTGAGGTCAGAGGAGGATGGCCAGACTGCTTTGAGCTAATAGGAAGGCAACGGTGACTCAAACAATCGCCCATTACAACCAAGGTCTGCACAAGAGAATTTCACAACATGTTGAACCTTGAAGCAAATGGGCTACATGAGCAAAAAGAAAACACTGGGTGCCAGTCCTGTCAGCACAGAACAGGAAACTGATTCTACAATTCACACAGGCTCACCTTAACTGGACAACAGAAGAGTGGAAAATGTTATCAGGTTCTGATGAGTCTCCATTTCTACTGTAACATTTGGATGGTAGAGTCAGAATTTTGTGTAAACAACATTAAAGCAGGGATACATCCTGCCTTGTATAAATAGTTTAGGTTGATGGTGGTTGTGTAATGATGGAGATTTTCTTGGAACACTTTTAGTACCAGTTGAACAACACTTAAATGCCACAACCTGTCTGAGTATTACAACTGTCAGAAAGCTCAAAATATCTCAAACTGGTTTCTTGAACATAGACAATGAGATAACGGCACTCAAATGGCCTCCACAGATCAGTCACCAGAGCTCAATCCAATAGAGAACCTTTGGGATGTGTGGGAACAAGAGAGTCTCATCATGAATGTACAGCCAACAAATCTGCAGCAACTGTGTGATGCCATTATGTCAATATCAACCAAAATCTCAGAAGAATGTTTGCAGCACCTTGTTGAATCTGTGGTAGTCTGTAGCTTTCAGACTACAACTTCAACTGTGTAATCTTAGGTCTTAAACTCTGTAACTTAAACATGAGGGCAACTTACCTCTAGCATCAAAGGATGAGCCACAGCATCTGGTTTGATGACCGCCAGGGTGAGCTGCAGCACTTTGGACAGGCGAGCACTTGTCAGCAACATTATCTAAAGACTGAACAGAAAATATGCCCTCAATTATAAGATCCAACTCGCCTAAAAGTACTTACATTTTTAGTTAAATTAATACAAAACAAACACCACAAGCAACGAAGATGCGACTTCTTTTTCGATTTTTTTATCGTTAATTTACCATTAATATAAATCATATAAAGTTAATAAAAATACGAAGATTTTCTGCGTGACAGTTTCCAACCCATCAGTGCTAAGTTCGTGACTGACACTAACCTCTGTTGTGACTTCTGTCCAAAAAAAGAAAAAACAATCAGTTTGTAACGGGGAGCAGAGCAACGGCCGCCGGCATACTGTTAAATAAAAACGCTGTGCAAATACTGTTGCAAATAAAAACGCGTAATTTTTGTGGAGTTAGCGGTTATCTACAACTGTAGCGTGTGAATATAGTCTGCATCCTTGCTTGTCCAATTACACCAAAAACAATGCTAAAAATGTGAAAATTAGCTGAACGAGTCGTTGTTTGGTCTGTCCGTTCGTAAAAAGGGTCCCCAGAAACAGTGCCAGCAGAGTTTGTTCCCCCGCGAGAAGAAGTAAAAACATAGATTTCATGTCTTATAAATTTTAGTTCTAATAGAAGCTTTTTGGAATTATTTTTCTTGATTTCCACAAAATGTGTATGTAGAATAGGAACGTAACTACACGTAGGTACTGGCATACTGAGATTCCATATATAAATACTGCACTTATTATTGCATTTGGCAGTGGAATGAGACAAATACTTTCCTATTGTTCCCGTATTGGAACGCTAGGAAAATGGAAAAATGTCATCTGGTCAGAAGGCAGTGTCAGAATT